TTTGTTCTAAATTGAACACTAGGGAGGCCCTTATTGGGGTGTAATTTTTTTTTTTTTTTTGTATTCAATAATTATATTGATATTTGTATATTATTTTAAATATAATTAATATAATATAATATAATATAATATAATATAAAAGTTTTCCTCTGTTCTGCTTTTAAAAGGAAACAAAACATTTGATTATTTTGAGTCACAAGGACTAGAGCCAAGACCTAACAAAGATTTTGTTGTTCTTCTTCTTTTTGTAATTATTTGCTGTCTAAAGTATCGATTGTGAGGTATCAAAGGCAAGTATTGTACCAAAGCCAAAATGTTGGTCTTGCTCCAACCCAACTGTCTCTTGGCTCTAGATTTGATGGTTGAGTCTCAGTCTGCGTTGACGTTTAGACTCTGAAGCTCAGGGTTGCTAATGCAGAGCATGGCAGATCTAGTGATCTCGTACTACTGGGGTAATGAGCTTGGCTAATGAGAGGACGCTGTCTGCTTGGCCCTCTCTGTAGAGAACTCCCATCTGCCCGCTGGAGACTCGGGCTCCCACAGCCTTTGTATCTGGCGTTTCCTCAAGTGGATGCTGACACATTGCCTCCTGCCATCTGCCCTGTGTACCACGATCTCCCTTCTCCACACCTTCACACCAGTGTGTGTGTGTGTGTGTGTGTGTCTGTGCGCATGGTTTCTTCATGTGTATGATATTAAAGCCAAGTGCATGCCACAAGACAAAAGCTTGTCATCCTCCTTACATTTAAAAACTAGCAGAGCAAAACCCTGCATATTATTCATTACATGCAGTCCAGTTAACCAGGAGCAATCTACACTGGTACAGTACAGGGCTTAATGCTTATATATACTGAATATATTTAATAATATCTTAAATAATGTTCTCATGTCCAAATACCAATATCAACCAGGAAAAAACAACAACAACAAAAATATGCATATTGCAGGACCTCTAACTATAAACAAACCCAACACACATAGACTCTTATTTTGAAATGTATATGCTTACTATCTCTGGCTGCTCATTCAAACAGATAAAGGAGATAAAATGTGCACTCTTACAACATTACAATAAACACTGTCAACAGTCAACTATAAGCAATCACATTGCATAAATATGCAGTGTTCATTGATTACGAACTGCTCTGAAATCGCTAATCTGTAGAACACAAAACAGAGC